AGACCTGGGAATGGAAAACCGAATGCCTAGTATAAACAACAATACAAAGGAGGCTGGTGAATACTGTTCAAGTGAATTAATTCATTTTAACAGTGCAAACTTAAAAGCAAAAAATGCATGCTGCAGGATGAAAGAAAAAAAAAAACAGACCTGGGAATGGAAAACCAAATGCTTGGGAACGAAATTGAAGAAGTTGCAGCGACGTTGTTTGTCTGGGAACGGAATTGAAGAAGTTATGCCTCCTTAGCTATTGGTAGATGACGGGAGAAAATAGAGATGCTGAAATGAACGAAATAGCTGGTTTCCCCGTCGCCTGCCTCTCCTTTCTCCTCTCTGTGTTTTTACTAACTCCCTACCCCTCGTTTTTTTCTTTCTTTTGTTGTATTTGTTTTTCTTTCTTTTATCTCCGTTTCTCTCTTATTTTTCTGCTCTCCTTTGCTACTCTTTTTTCTCTCTTCTCCTCTCTTTCTTTTTCTGCCGCCCTAGGTCATTAGAGGGGCTTATATATAGTCTAACATATATCTATTTAGGAAGGATTCAATGCATTAATCCTAGGACGCAAATCCCTAATAATTTGCAGTAAAAAAAACGCAAAAGGAAACTGCAATATTCTGATTTTGTGGTGGTGTTTTACATCTAATTTCTTTCCAGTTTTGGAGGATGGTGTGGCTCTTTTCTTTCCTTCCATAGGGCCAGCTGCTCCCTTTGAAATGAGACAACAAAAACGTGGTCTTTAGCTCCAATAATCAGAGGTGATGAGAAAGGAAAACAACAGAGAAAAAGGGAAAGAAATCAGATGCAGGGTGCAGCTGTAAAGTCTTATTTTCCTTATTCGGTGTGGTAAAAATCCTTCCATTTATGATGATCCAGGCCCCCTCTCCAGCTTTCCATATCCTTCTTCAACTAAATCCCTCATTTTAACACTTTTCGATTCAGTCCTGGGTCCAGAAAAAATCCTTCAAATCAGTCCCGCAAACTTGGGTCAAAATCCTGCTCGTGGCAGAATTCTCTAATTTCACGTCAGAGATTTAAACATGCAGAGCTTGAGCTTTTGATATCAAAATCGAGCAATTAAAAAACCAAAATTCATCTATGCATGTAGGATTACAACTTTGATAGGGATTTAAGGCGAGATATAATCATTTTATAGGACAGAATCGGGCCGCGATCTCGTTGGTCAAAAAGGGTCTCCTGATCTGATTCAAAAACTGACAAATGCCGAGCATCCCGATATGACTGGGAGTACCTTAAGAATGAACTAGAAAAATCATGATGGCAGTAGAATTTTTTTCGGTGCAAAACTTGGGTTAGAATCCTGCTCACGGCAGAATTCTCTATTTTTCACGTCAGATATTTAAACGTGCAGAGCTTGAGCTTCTGATATCAAAATCCATCAATTTGAAAGCCAAAATTCATCTATGCGTGTAGGATTACAACTTTGATAGGGATTTAGGGTGAGATATAATCATTTTATAGGACAGAATCGGGTCGCGATCTCGTCGGTCAAAAAGGGTCTTCTGATCTGATTCAAAAACTGACAAATGCCGAGCATCCCGATATAACCGAGAGTACCCTAAGAATGAACCAGAAAAATCATGATGGTAGTAGAATTTTTTTTTCGATGCAAAACTTGGGTTAGAATCCTGCTTGCGGTAGAATTCTCTATTTTCACGTCAGATATTTAAACGTGCAGAGCTTAAGCTTCTGATATCGAAATCCATTGATTCAAAAGCCCAAATTCATCTATGCATCCATTACCATGGGGAGTCAAGGCGAGATATGACAGAGTCAGGCCACAATCTGGTTGGTCAAAAAGGGTCTCCCGATCTAAATTCAGGAAACTGACAATGCCAAGCATCCTCGACTGAGAGCCTGCCATAAGAACAATGAGCCCTAGGACCCAATCAAGGTATAGGTCCATTCTTCAACATGTCATGAGTGATAGAATATAGTTGGGATGGTCAGATATTGCACGAACCCAAGTCAGAATCAGGGTCTAAGTTGGAACAAAACATTTTTTTTTTTTTTGCGACAACAGTAGAACTAGGTTTTTTTAGTGCCACTTTCAAGGAATTTATTTCAACCTTACAGCCCATGTAAAAGAGGAATGAATTTATCATTATAAAGAATCCTAATTAGCCTAAGAATCTTGACAATTTCGGTAGCAGTGGGGAAGGATAAAGAGAGCAGGAGATGGCTTAAAAATGGGTAACAACAGATGCCCCCTCTTTACGAAATTTGCGAAGCTAAAACTTGAGTAGCAAGTTTTGTAAAGATAAATTAATAAAACTATCAAAACTCGATGCCTTAAATATGGTCTCATTATTAGGTGACCTACCCGTTTCTCTATTCAAAAGAATTTTAAAAGTGGTCTAAATGCCGGGTGACCTGCCTGTTTAGAAAACTCCACGTTTTTCTGAAGATGGTCTTTTTTTTTGAAAAATGTTCTCAATGTCGGGTGACCTGCCCGTTGTAAGATTCTTTAGAAAAACTCCACTCTCTTTTTTTTCCCTAAAAAGTGGTCTCATTGTTGGGTGACTTGCTCATTGTAAGATTTTTAGAGAAAAACTGCACGCTTTTTCTAAAAAGTGTTCTCAATATCGGGTGACCTGCCCGTTGTCAGATTTTTAGAAAAACTCCACGCTTTTTTTAAAAGGTGGTCTTAATGTCGGGTAACCTGCCCATCGTAAGATTTTTAGAAAAACTCCACGCTTTTTCTAAAAGATGGTCTCAATGTCGGGTGACTTGCTCGTTGTAAGATTTTTAGAAAAACTCCACGTTTTTCTAAAAGGTGGTCTCAATGTCAGGTGACCTACCCGTTGTTAGATTTTTTAGAAAAACTCCACGCTTTTTCTAAAAAGTGGTCTCAATATCGGGTGACCTGCCCGTTGTCAAACTTTTTAGAAAAACTCCACGTTTTTTCTAAAAGGTGGTCTCAATGTCGGGTGACCTGCCCATTGTAAGATTTTTAGAAAAACTCCACGTTTTTTCTAAAAGGTGGTCTCAATGTTGGGTGACCTGCCCATCTTAAAATTTCTTAGAAAACTCCATGCTTTTCTAAGAAACCGTCTAAATATCAGGTGACCGGCCTATCTTAAAATTCTTAGAAAACTCCACGCTTTTCTAAGAAACGGTTTCAATATCGGGTGACCGGTCCCTCTTCAATTTGTTTTTAGAAAACTCCACCCTTTTCTAATGAATGGTTTCAATATCGGGTGACCTGCCCATTTTGAACCTTTTTTTTTAAAAAAATCATCTTACCTCAAGGAATGAAGCAGTGCTGGTTGACAATTCCTATCCTTTTCTGTAGTTTTGTAGACCTGAGATTTTGGACCTCAGCGGATTTTTTTTTTCCTTTCAAAAACTTGGAACTATTTTGGCCTTCGTCACACCTTCTCCTGCCAAGTTAGTGTTATGACAGTATAGCATGCATGTTTTTTTTGTTACCTATTTTGGAAACATAGGTCCCCCCTTCTGTTGTAGACTTATTGAGCTCTTATTTCCACTTGTTTGTCCAACTCGTCCTCTTGAAACAAAATATGCTCCACGTGTTATACTTCCTATCCTCTTGGTGAAGAGATCTTTGGTTCCTTATGGGTCCCTTTCTTGATCCATTGAATATTGTCTTTTATTATTATTTTAAAAGGAAAACTCAAAAGATTTGGTTTTGTTCATGAAAACTGAAACTTTCAATGCAATTAGCAATTCTCATAAAAGATTTTTTTTTTAGAAGTTTTTTATGATGATCCCCCTTTTAGGGCTTTGGTTCACCCCTATGTGCACTTCGTACACTTCTTACCCCTAGTGTGGTGTGCAAAAATAAATAAATAAATAAATGTCAAGTTTAGATTTGATTTGGTTCTCTCCAATTGATGGAGTCATCTCCTTAGTCATGTGTAAGAAAAAAAAATTGTTTCAGTAAAAGATTTCAGATGTTATGAGATCATGCGTTTTATGAAGAAAGGTGCTTTACAGAGAAAATTCATGGCCAAACTTTATTTTATTAATTGGCAGATTATGGAATACATCAAGCGTAATATTTCCTTACAGAATCAAAATTCACTCGCCTAACTAGATCTTCTCCATCCATTCTAGATAACAACAAAGCTCCTCCTGAGAATGCTTTCTTCACCACATAAGGACCGTCATAGTTCGGTGCCCATTTACTTTGATCTTCTCCTGGTAAAGATATTATTTTCTTCAGTACAAGATCTCCTTCATGGAATCCTCGAGGTCGAACCTTTTTGTTGTATGATTTGGCCATCCTTCTTTGGTAGAGTTGATGATGATAGATTACGGCTATCCTTTTTTCACTGAGTAGATTCAGCTATTCATATCTAACTTTTGCCCATTCTACCTCTTCCAGCTCAGAGTCCACCAATACTCTCAATGAGGGGATTTCCACTTCTAAAGGCATAACCGCCTCCATTCCATATACCAACATGTATGGGGTGGCTCCTGTTGAGGTTCGAACTACGGTGCGATACGCATGAAGGGCAAATGACAACATCTCATGCCAATCCTTATAGGTGACTACCATCTTCTGAATAATCTTTTTGATATTCTTGTTAGCAGCTTCTACCGCACCATTCATCTTTGGTCTATACGGCGAAGAGTTGGAATGCTTGATTTTCCATTTAGCGCAGAGTTCTATTATCATCTTGCCATTGAAATTCTGTGCATTATCAGTTATAATCTTTTCTGGTGAACTATATCGACAAATCAAATCTCTCTCAATAAATTTATTCACTACCTTTTGTGTTACATGAGCAAATGACCTGGCTTCTACCCATTTTGTAAAGTAGTCAATAGCCACGAGAATAAACCTATGACCATTGCTGGCTTTTGGGTTTATAGGTCCAATCACATCAATCCCCCACATCGCGAAGGGCCATGGAGATGTCAAGTTAAACAGAGGAGCTGGAGGGGCGTTGATTTTGTCACTATATACTTGGCACTTATGACATTTTCAGACATAGTCGATGCAATCCTTCTCTAATGTCATCCAGAAGTAACCGACTCTTTGTATTTTCCTAGCCATCACGTGTCCATTAGTATGGGTTGAGCAAATCCCTTCATGGACTTCTTGTAATGCGCTTTTTGCCTCAAATTCATCCAAACATCTCAATAAAGTCCTGTCGAATGATTTCTTATACAAGATCTCCCCATCAAGATAAAAATTTGTTGCCAACCTCCTCAAGGACTTCTTGTCGATTTTGGATGCCCCCATGGGATATGCCTGGTTTTGGATGAAATTTTTGATATTATAATACCAAGGGTTTCCATCCACTTCTCTTTCAACTGAGCAACAATAAGCTGGGTTATTTCTAATATTGATGTGTACTGGTTGTACCTTGTGCCCAAAATCTATTTTGGCCATAGATGCTAGTGTAGCCAAAGCATCTGCAAACTGGTTTCCTTCCCGTCCTAGATGGGTGAACTCTATTTCCTCAAATTCTTCAGCCAGTTTAGACAGGTATTCTTGGTAAGGCCTTAACTTCTCTTCCTTGGTTTGCCATTCTCCTTTTACTTGGCAAATGATCAGCATTGAGTCTCCATACACGTCTATCTTTCTAATGTTTAGCTCTAATGTAGCTTCTAAACCAAGAATGCAAGCTTCATACTCAGCTATGTTGTTGGTGCACCTGAACTGCAGCTTAACTGAAACCGGATACTGCTTCTTATCAGGAGAGATTATCACTACACCTGCCCCATTGCCACATACATTTACAGCACCATCAAAGTACATAATCCACCAATCTGATTTCTCTTCCTCGATTGCAAGCACATCTTCATCGGGAAAGTCAAAGTCTAATGACTCATAATCTTCCATAGCATGGTCAGCCAAGTGATCAGCAATAATACTCCCCTTTATGGCTTTCCTTGTCATATATACTATGTCATACTCAGCCAATAGAACTTGCCATCTTGCAATTCGGCTCGATAAATAGGGCTTTTCACAAATATACCTCAACGGGTCTAATTTCGAAATTAACCATGTAGTGTGATACAACATATACTGACGTAATCTCTTTGCAGCCCATGTCAGTGCGCAACACAGCTTCTCAATCACAGTATACCTAGACTCGTATTCCATGAACTTCTTGCTCAGGTAATAAATGGCCCTTTCCTTCCTTCCGGTTTCATCGTGTTGCCCAAGCACACATCCCATTGCTATTTCTGTTACTGTTAGGTACAATATCAATGGCCTTTCTGGTACAGGAGGAACAAGCAAGGGCGGATTCAACAAGTATTGCTTGATTTTCTCAAAGGCCTCTTCGTACTCTTCATTCCAAATTCCTGGGTTCTTCTTCCTTAACAAACGAAAGATCGGGTCACAAGTTGTGGTTAATTGGGATATAAACCGAGCAATGTAATTCAACCTTCCTAAGAAGCCTCTCACATCTTTCTCAGTCTCGGGAGGTGGCATAGATTGAATAGCCTTTACTTTGTCAGGATCAACTTCTATCCCTTTATCACTCACCACAAATCCCAACAATTTCCCATATTTCACCCCGAACGAACACTTCGCCGGGTTAAGTCTCAACTTATATTTCCTTAGTCTTTCAAACAATTTCTTTAATATTTAGACATGATTTTCTCCCTTTCTAGATTTAGCAATCATGTCATCCACGTATACTTCAATCTCTTTGTGCATCATGTTGTGAAACAAAGTCACCATAGCCCTTTAGTAGGTGGCCTCGACATTCTTTAAACCAAATGGCATGACTTTGTAGCAAAAGGTTCCCCATGATGTTACAAAGGTTGTCTTCTCCTTATCCTCTTGTGCCATTTTTATCTGATTGTATCCTGAAAACCCATCCATAAAGGAACATGTGGAGCTGTGTGCTGCATTATCAACTAACATATCTATGTGTGGTAGAGGGAAATTATCTTTAGGGCTAGCCCGGTTTAAATCCTTAAAGTCCACACAAACTCTGATTTTACCTTCCTTTTTGGGTACCACCACTATGTTTGACACCCATTGTGGATACTTGACTACTTAAAAAAAACTAGCGTTCCATTGTTTTTCAATTTCTGCTTTTACTTTGATTAAGACCTCCGAACGAGTTCTCCTTAACTTCTGCTTAATCGGTTTGCATCCATCCATCAATGGTATCCTATGTACTATGATATTCGTATCCAAACCAGGCATATCCTCGTAGGACCAGGCAAAGACATCTACGTAATCTCTGAGTAGTGTAGTCAATTCTTCTTTCTCTTCAAGGGTGATCAAAGTCCCTATTTTCAGCTCTCTCTTGATTTCTTCGTTACCCATATTTATGGTTTCAAGTTCCTCTTTAGCGGGCCTCCAAGCCTGTTCATGCTGTTCTATTAATTTTGTGAATTCCCCTATGTTTTTCTTCTCCCATTCCTCATCTTCTACAGCTACTATGCATTCTTTAAAGTTTGGTCATTCATTCTGAATGTAAAGTGTAGGTGTTGTTGTGGAAGATCTGCTTTCAGGGTTCCTGAAAGCAGGAAGTGATGTGTAAATGCATAGTAAGACATCAAAATGAAATTTGAAAAAAATGCATGATCTCATTAAAAGGAAAAGATTGGCTAAAAAAAAAACAAAAATAAAATCCAATTGACATCTTGAGCTTCGATTGTCAATGAATAAAAACAAAACAAAAAGATAACCAATCATAAATAAAGTTATAATCCAACAATCATTGTTGATTACATTTTGAAAACCAATGGAGCTTCTTGGTCTCCCAATTCTGGAACTTCTCTCCTTCGGCTAGCTTTCGAACGAAAGTTTTGGCAGTAACTTCCTCCAAAGTGTAGATGGTTAATTGCAACAACTCTTCATCCTTTCTTCCGGATTCAAACTTCTCAGCGACGTCCTCGACTTGATCTTCCTCCAGACTGTTTATGTTTATTGAAGAAAGCTTTTGAAGGAGGTTTTCATGTCCCTTATTAGGTTGCATCACATATGCAGCCTTTGGAAAAGAAATCCTGATAGGAGGGATGGCTAAGCTCTCTTCTTCAGGCTTTCTTCCTTCAATCCTCGCCATTCTTTTCTCCCTTCTTGCACCAGCAACTCGCTTGTAATCCTCCTTCTTAGGCTTATCTCCAAGCCCAAACCTCTGTTCTGCAGCTTTCAGCTTGATTATATCAATCAACTCAAATTTTCCTTTCTCGATATCATATAGGAAAGGAATCTTGTGCTTCAAAAAGCTTTTAGCAGCCATTTTGGTGGCCTCTGAAATTTCTAGTTTCCTCACCACAGTGTTCTTGGGCACCCACTCGATATTCACAACCTCAAATGCATGAAGATTTCCATCTTTACAATCTTCAGCTTCAATAAATGGAACTGCCACATTTCTTACCATCGATATAGTCTCCTCAACCTTAACAGTCACTAGGACACCATTAGCAATGTACTTCAAACATTGATGCAACAAGGAAGGGACAACTTCTGCAGAATGTATCCATGGCCTTCCTAATAACATGCTATAGGAAGGGTGGATATCCATCACTTGAAGGGTCACTAGAAAGACTTGTGGACCCACAGCTAGTTCGACCTCAATTGTCCCTATCACTTTCCTTGGCGAGCCATCGTACGCTCTAGCCATCATCACACTAGGTTGCATGTGTGAGGGATCTATCAGCATTTCGTCCAGCATATGTCTTGGTAACACATTAAGAGCCGTTATCGATGAGAACTTTACCGATGAGACAATCTTTACATCGTACCGTGACATACAAAGGCTTGTTATGTCCTGTTCCTTCAGTATCAAGTTCATCTTCCGTGAAATATAGGTAATTGGTAGTATGGATCCTCCCTACTAGATGCTCCATAGTCTTTTGTTCAATATCTTGGGGGTACATGGGCCTCATTCAGTACTTTTTGTAAAGCATTACGATGCGGCTCGGAGCTGAGTATTAATGACATGATGGAGATCTTGGCAAGGGTCTTTTTTAACTGATCCACTATATCACTATGCTTCATCAATTTCAGGAACTCATTTGTTTCTTCCTCAGTCACAGGTTTATTCACCTCAAAATCTTTATTTAGGTCCAACACCTCCTTGCCCTTAGCCTTTCTTTGCTTCTCTAGTTCTTCAAGTGTGAAACAACGACCACTCCGAGTTAGTCCACTTATCTCAGTTTGAAACAACGATAAAAGAGTTTCGACATTCAAGGTATAACCATAATCTTGAGGAATCGCTCCATAGTCTACTTTGTTTGCATATGAGGGCTTAATTAATACTAGTTTCGAGAGCCCATTAGCCGTTGATTGGACTCTGTATTTCCCTTGATTCTCTATCATCTCTATCTCTTCATTATCTATGGCAGCCTCAATCCTTAGCTCTCCTAAAGTCAAAATTCTTGCGACCTTTTGATGAAACTCAATGCATTCATCAATGTGATGCCCTTTCTTTTTATGGAATGGGCAAAAATCATTTTTCCTCATGCAATGTTTAGATGGTTTCTCCAAATGTCCAGATTGTACCAACATCTCACACAGACTCGCTATGGTCACTCTTAACACCTTCTCTTTGCTACTGACCTCCATAGTATTCACTCCACTACCACCTACAGCATGTTTGGGTAGAGGGTTTGAATTCACATTAGGCGAATCTTCAAAAGTAACCCATCTGATTTTGATTAGCTGTGATACCCTCTTCTTAAAAGCCATGCAGTTCTCGATACCCTCTTTTTAAAAGCCACGCAATTCTCGATGCTATGACCCGCATTACCAGCATGGTATTCACAAGTCAACTCGGGGTTGTACCAAGTAGGGAAAGGCGGTTGCATAGGCGGTAATGGTAAGGGAGCTATCTGTCCAATACTTAGCAACTTGGCATATAACTCCTTTAGGGTTATTGGCAACGGTGGTAATGGTTCTTCTCGTTGTCGGTTGTCTCTCCTTTGGTAACTGTTTTGGTTGCTGGTTGGGAATTTTGTTTGATAGGGTTGGTTTGGTATGGAGGGTTTGGAAAAGTTGATGCTAATGATTTGGGAGGTAGGTGTTTGATAATTTTGGTAGTTTCTTCCTTTCCCTTGGTACCTGCCTTCTAGGTTATTCACCTCGGTTTCCTTTTTCTTCCCAAAAAAACCCTTCTTCTCTACAGGTTCTGCAATTCTCCAATTTCGGATTCCTTGCTCAATCCTTTCAGCAATTCGCACAACATCATAGAAATGCTGGGCTGAGCTACCCATAAGATGTTCGTAGTATGGGGCCCTAAAAGTATTGGCAAATAGTGTTACCATCTCCGTCTCTATTAGTGGAGGTTATACATTGATAGCTTGGTCTCACCACCTTTGAGTATAAGCTCTCATGAACTCTTGAATTCCTTTCTCCATGGTACCAGCCTTATATACCAGCTGAGAGCCGATCCTGTCAAACTATCCTGGAAGAAGTAAATTAGCAATTTATCATCATGGATAACTTCTGCCATCTTGTTATAGTAGGAACGAAGATGGGTCTTTGGGCATTCCATTCCGGTATACTTAATAAACTCCGGAACTCTAAACTTCTTTGGAATTACGATGTTAGGCACTAAACATATTTCAGCGGCCCTAATTGGGTCAAATAAATCATTTCCTTCAACTGCCCTTAGCCTCTCTTTTAGCATAGTCCACTTATCATACCCTTCATGATTAGAGAATCTGACGTCTTGTGGATCCTCGTTTGTTAAATCCATCGTAACAGGGATTTGGATGGGCCGAACAGGATTAGGATGCTGCTTATTTGGTGTATTTTCCCCCGTGTTTATAGGTGCAATAGGGACTTGAGCGGCTGGTGGTGCTTCATCAGGTTTAGTAGACGTTCCCTCTCCATCTCTAGCTCTCAACATTTGCTCTAACATACTGGTCAGGTGCGCCACATCATTCCGAACTCCTTCAAGCTCTCTTTGGTATTGAGTTTCAGATTGTGACCTTTCTTCGTTTTCCATTCTTGTTCTTTCTCGAGTATTGTGGATTCTAGAAGGGGGACCTATGTTTCTTAATCTGCAAATGCGTGTATAGATGTATAAGAAAATGCATGATTGAGAATGCTGTGTATATTAGGTATGGATGCAATCTTCTTATGAACAAATAATAGCCACCACCTTATAAATATAGGTTCACTTGTCACATTGCTAGGAGTACTGCCTTTCAAGTTGTTTGCTTGAATCATATTCACCAAGAGACAGATTTTGCATAAGAGGATGGGTCAACGCCCTTTTCATTAATGCTTGATAAGTTTATTACATTAATAAATAAAAAGAAAGTATAAAATATATTAATCCCTTTCCTCCCTAAACTCTCTAGCCAAAGGTAAGAAAGCAAAGCCGCGATTCTCAATCTTCCCTAGAAAGGCATCGGTTTCAGCAAGGCTTCGGCGATAGCGAATGTTGTCTCCTCCAACATTCCGCGTATTGATTCTAATAATTCGAGCATGTGCAGCAGCTTCATCCATTTGCTCATTTGTTTTGGTCATCTTCTCTATAAGCAGCATGTTGGTTCTATTCAAAGCAGTGTTGTTGGCGTCGATTTGATCCTTGTGTTTTTCCATTGCTGCTAGCTTCTCATCCAAATACTTCACCTTTTCACGTTCATTGTCAAGTTTTATCCTCATAACTTTTATCTCATTCTTCTTAACTGCTAATTCTGTTTCAACAGCCTCGAAACCTTTCTTTTTACTTTCTTCTTTTGCAATCCCCATTGAACGGCTTTCCAACTCTATATATTTCTTGTTCAAATCCTCATACTTCCCAATCCTATCCATCAATTTGAATTGGACTTGTGCAAATTTTTCTTGGAAATATTCTACACTTCCTTGGCAATCGTTAAGGTCAATCTCCAATGCTTCAAGTTCAGAGCAACTTTGCATCCAATCCAAACTCATCCTTCTTAGCTCCTTCTCACTTTCTTCATTAGCAATCTTCTCCTCACCCAGCTTTAACTCAAGCTTTGTTATTCTTGAATCTCTAGATTGTAGTTGCTCATCTAGAAATGCTCTCCTTTTATCTCCTTCCAGCATTATTTCTTCCAACATTGCCTTGTCTTTTTTGCTTTTGCTCAACTCTATCCGAAGTTTTTCCACCTATCTTCTCAACTCCTCTTCATTATTGACCCTTTTCCTCTTAATAGGCTCTTCTAAAGTTTGGGGAGATTTGACTCCTACACAAGGCATGGCTGAAGGAGCTAGATTTCTCCATTTTGGATACTCTTCACTTGCACTTGGATCCTTTAAACCTTCAACCAAAACCAGATGCTTCCAATCTTGTTTGATGATCTCTAAAACTTCTTGCGCAATAGGGTCTCTAAACAAACCAAAGAATTGAGCAATTCCCATAGTCCTTGGAACAAACTGTATGCCCCCAAGTTGCCTTACCACTAGGGCAGGAGCATAACTCACATAACCTGTAATCCCTACCAATGGCACCCAACGTCTTTGTCTACAACTCATCAAGACTTTCACTGTCGTTACCCATGAGGCTCTCCACTTGAAATCACTATTAGGCAATCCTTCTAATTTTTCAACCCAACTTTGGTTGTCTAGATCTCCCCATTCTTCTTCTTCTATTAATTTCAAGGGTCTTTGGGTGAACCACCAAAAATTATTGAATACAGGTTTTTTTATTTCGACATGGCTAACCATCCAGATATACAACAACCGCGTGCATCATCTCATTGCTCCTTTTCCAGTCCTCCTACAATGATTAAGCGTCAAGATGGTTTCAGCTAAAATAGCAGCCACTGGATTGACTTGTGTATTCTCATACTTTACATAAGCAGCAACGACTTCCAAACTCACTACACCCGTCTGACTTTGGAACAACACCAGGCCAAATATGCCCAAGGCAATCAATCTCTCTTTTTCTAATCCTGACTTCTTTTCTAGTTCAATTTCTAGCATCCTCCATTTCAGACCGGTAGCATTCTTTTCCAAAAACTTTTCCAAGTTGGAGATTCTAAGCGGTTTTGACAATTCATGGATGATCTTATTAGATCTCAAAGGAAAATAAATCCTATATAGATTGTTTGGAAACTTAGTCAACATCCCATATTCCTCAATAGTGGGACACAGGTCTATGCTTCCAAAAGAAAAACACCGGTAGTCTGGATCCCAAAAATGAACTAAAGCTCGCACAGCTAGGCTTAATACTTCTACCTTTGCAATCTCCACCAAATGTTCGTATTTCCTAAAAAATACATCCTTATCCACATTCTGAAAGTGAGTCGTTAACTTGTTTACCTCATTCATAATGCAATTCAGGTTCTTGATTGGTGACAGTTTTTTAGCATCGCTTCTAAGGCAGTCTCCTTCAGTCAATTGTGATAGTTCAGAATTTTTTCCATATTCTATGATGGAAAATTTAGCAATGGTGGCCATTTCATTCACAAGTCCTGCAATTCAAGATGCCTTGGGGTTAGACTTGTTTTAATGCAAAAGATATTATGGAGCATACAACTTAAGGATAGGTTCTAGTTCCTTTACGTGAGATATAGGGTAGGTTTACTACTTGGTCTCTAAAAAAGGGTCTC